GTGTTTAACTGGTTTTAAGGCTGGAGTAATGACTGTTCCTGTAGAAAGTTTTTAGATTGTCAGGGACAGGCATGCTAAAAGTTGCTGGTTTGGGAACAGGGATTTTCAGTAAAAGCATACAGATGTGCTACTTATTGGTTAAAACAAGTCATTTTGATCTTTTGATTTTGATTATGAAGTGTCTTTTATGATAACAAAGGCTATTAAAGATAAATAGCTTTTGTTATCATAAAAGACACTCCATAACTCAGAATCATTGAAATTAAAATTCACTTTGTACAACACTCTGGAATATGTTGGCACTATAAAACGCAGATTAGTTATTAAACAAAAAAACACACATACCATCACACAGTAGTATGCCAATACATTATTTGGAACAATATCCTAGATTTTAAAGCTCTAACAAGCAGGGCCCTCTAATTCCTTCTGTATTGAATTGCATTGTAACTGTACTACAGTGGTATATATTAGGTTTTGTGCTGCCCTAGGCAACACAAAAATAGCTCCCCCCTGGGCACTGCATACACAGTTAAGCAGCCCGCAGCCTCTCACCGATCCCACAAGGTCCCCATGCCATGTGTTTCCCTTCTTCTACTGCCCCCACCCACCCCCTGAAAAATGCCGCCCTAGGCAAATGCCTTGTTTGGCTTGTGGTGAATACGCCCCTGCTTTACTGTCTGCCCTCATGTTGTACAGCACTGCGCAATCTGTTGGTGCCATATAAATCCTGTTATTATTAAATTCCATAAATATACTCAGATTTAAACAAAGTAGCTGTAAGCGCATATATTTTGGTCATACTAACCATGGCGTTGACATAGTGACACTTTTATTTATAAAAACTGAAAGTGGAAAGCCTGCATGTATCAATGAACCAGGTTCTTGCTTTCATTTTTCCATTTGAACTTTAAACTAAAATTTGAACTTTAAATTATAATTGAAGACAAAGCTTTTTTTTTTTGTTTTGGATAGAGTGAAGAGGGAGTAGAACCCTTGTCAGGTCTTTATTGCTGTCTGTTCCCCATTAAGGAGCTTCACCATCTGTATTTGTCCTGTTTACCAATATCATTGAAAGTGAAAGTAAAAGAAAATCCAGAATTTTGGGTTGTCCCCAGAAAAGTAATCAAGGGGAAATATTCCAATGGGGACACTAGGTCAAGTGACCTGGGGGGCCCCATGGTATTCATACTCAATGTGTAGGGTTTTCCTCTGACTTGCTGTTTGGCTATGGAGCAGGAAGTGAAGGGAAATCTCTGCAATGGGACACAGATGGTGAAAAAAAAATTGACAGGGGTTATAACTCTCCCTTACTCAATCAAAAATGAAAAGAAAAAAAGTTTTGCCTACAGTTCTAGTTTAGGGATGATGGCAAGAACATCAGAGTATAGGATGGTGACATTTAGCCAATAATCAACACACAGCACTGACAGACAAAAGCAGTGCAGCATATAGACTCTTCTGGTATTCACTGATAATAAACCAAGTGTGAGTAATTATCATGGGTTGTACCCCCGGCTTTCTTTACTTCAATTTCTACAAATAAAGCCCTAGTAAGATGTAGAAAAGCACTACACATAGTAATGTACACTGTGGCTGATGAGCACAAAATGATATGCACATTCTGACTCAGACAGTGATGAAGGCAGGCAAAAATAGGGTTATACAATTGTGTTTGTGACAAGAATGATAGCAACAATAACACACTACAGAATAAAAAAATATTCATTACTGGAAAACCATCATATTGAAGTATACATACTCAGAGGTAAACCCATTAACCGTAACTACGAAAATTGTGAGAAAAGCAGATGGCACAGAAGAAAAGTTCATAGATATTCACATTCATTATAGCAAGAGTTGGCCTTACAGAAACAGACATCAGTATGTTCTAAAACTTGTACTGGATTATATCATTAAGTCACTGCTGAAGCTGACTGTTTTCATTGCCTCCTAACATGTGCTGATAGTGACAATCAATTAGAATAAGATGTGGCAGTAAATAGAACCCTATTATTGTACACAAGTCATCAACAGAGCTGGTATACAAGTAAAGGTGTGGAAGGGTGCTGCGCTACTTGGTGAATGATCAGTGGAAACATAAATGACAAACTCAATGTAAATATGTCCCTCATCCAAGTGTGAACATAACATATAGAAACATATAAATTGGTGCAAACAATGCCAAGTGACAGTAAAAGCTGCAAAAAAAGGCTATAAAGTGCTGGTGACACAAGTGAATAAAACAGGGTTCCCTGAGGAAGTCATGTGACGCAATGTGTAGGATGGAAGCGTGGCGACGTCATATCCGGTATGGACGGCAGCTGTCATCTTGGTACTCCTAATCCCATACACCTTCCTTGCAGTTTTTTACTGCAAGACGTTTGCCTGTTTTGGTCTGCGGACCTATTTTAAATGTGAGTAGTGATTTTTAGATGTTATTCAAAATAAAGTTTGTGACATATTACACTATGGGAGTCTTCTTGCTTGCATCTTCTGTGTGAGGCATTGGAGATGACAGAGGTCTGTGGCCATTTCTGGAGCATGCTTGTGAGTGTTTGTCGGCGCCATTGGAGATGACCTTTTGCTCTCTGATTGCATCGAGGACCAGTTTTCTTTGAAATCATCATTTGAGGTTTTCTATGCTTTGTGACTGTTTGTGAGTTGCATTTTGAAGGTGAGCGTGCACGCTAGCCGGTGGAGGATTTTTTCGTATATGTTTGCAGCACTGGATGTGTCACGGCATGCACTGAAGATTTACTGTGTTCTTTCTGGAGTTTTTGGGATTATATATATACAGTTGTGGCCAAAATTATTCAACCCCCACTGAAATTGAGTGTTTTGGCCAGTTTGACATTGCTTTTGATCATTCAGTCATCTTGCTTACATTTACATTAAAGAGGCACTTGTAGGTCAGACAAATATAACATAACAGTTATAATGAAATAACCACAAATGTCTTTTCTGTGCTCACAGCATTATCAGTTTTATTCAACCCCAAGTGACATTCAATCTTAGTACTTAGTACAGCATCCTTTTACAGTTATAACAGCTTTTAAACGTGAAGCATAGCTTGACACAAGTGTCTTGCAGCGATCTACGGGTATCTTCGCCCATTCTTCATGGGCAAAGGCCTCCAGTTCAGTCACATTCTTAGGCTTGCGCACTGCAACTGCTTTCTTTAAGTCCCACCAGAGGTTCTCAATCGGATTTAAGTCTGGTGACTGCGATGGCCACTCCAAAATGTTCCAGCCTTTCCTCTGCAACCATGCTCTAGTGGACTTGGAGGTATGCTTGGGATCATTGTCCTGTTGAAAGGTCCAACGTCTCCCAAGCCTCAGGTGTGTGACGGACTGCATCACGTTTCCATCCAATATCTCCTGGTACTGAAGAGAATTCATGGTACCTTGCACACGCTGAAGCTTCCCTGTACCTGCAGAAGCAAAACAGCCCCAAAGCATGATTGACCCTCCACCATGCTTCACAGTAGGCAAGGTGTTCTTTTCATCATAGGCCTTGTTCTTCCTCCTCCAAACATAGCGTTGATCCATGGGCCCAAACAGTTCTAATTTTGTTTCATCAGTCCACAGAACACTATCCCACAACTTTTGTGGTTTGTCCACATGGCTTTTGGCATACTGCAGTCGACTCTTCTTATTCTTTGGAGACAGCAAGGGGGTACGCCTGGGAGTTCTGGCACGGAGGCCTTCATTACGCAGTGTGCGTCTTATTGTCTGGGCTGAAACTTCTGTACCCACATCTGACAAATCTTTTCTCAGTTCCTCAGCAGTCACACGGGGACTTCTCTCCACTCTACGCTTCAGGTAGCGCACAGCAGTCGAAGTCAGCATCTTCTTTCTGCCACGACCAGGTAGCGTTTCAACAGTGCCCTTTGCCTTGAATTTGCGAATGATGCTTCCTAAGGTGTCTCTTGGTATGTTTAACATCTTTGCAATCTTCTTATAGCCATTGCCCTTCCTGTGAAGAGAAATCACCTCTTCTCTTGTCTTCCTGGACCATTCTCTTGCCTTCACCATGTTTGTAACCACACCAGTAAATGTCTAGAAGGAGCTGAGTATCACAGTCATTTTAAAGCTGCCTAATTGGTGCTTATTATGCTTGATTGCTGCTCGGTGACATCCACAGGTGTTTTCAATACCTGATGGAAAGCACCTGTATGAACCTCTGTTCTTCAGAGTGGTAGTCTTTAAGGGGTTGAATAATTGTGGCAATGAAGAAACCACATAAGAACCATTTACTACTGTATTACATAAACAATTGATGTCATTTTTAGTTGCATTTGGGTAGTTACAACGTCCTTGTAGGATTTGATTCTGAATACAATTCCAAATGTACACTATAGTCCCTAAACCCCTTTACAGCATTGGGGGTTGAATAATTTTGGCCACAACTGTATATATATTTTTTTTTATATGTTTTTTTTTTTTTTTTGGGACGGAGTCACTTTTGATTTTTCTGGATTGAGTCACTTATTAATTATTTTTTGATTGATTATTTGGGACTAAGGCACTTTTTTATACATCAGCATTATTGTTTTAGTCACTTGTGTCACCAGCACTTTATGGCCTTTTTTTGCAGCGGTTACTGACACTTGGCATTGTTCGTACCAATTTATATGTTTCTACTGTATATGTTATGTTCACACTTGGATGAGGGACATATTTACATTGAGTTTATGTCATTTATGTTTCCACTGATCATTCGCCAAGTAGCTCAGCACCCTTTAATTGTTTGTCACTATTTTGGAATATAGTTAGGTGTCTGCAGCAACTTCGTTTTTGGGGTCATTTGGAATAGGTAGGTAGCGCAGGATGATCATCTCTGCACTAGAGCTGGTATACAGCAGTATACTGTGTACACCAATGTGCACAATTTTACACCACTTCCAGTGCACTCCTGGTATAAATACCGGGGATCCTAAGAACTTGCATGCCTTCTACAAGGTGCATGCAGACCTATCAGTGTTTTACGTTACATACCTGTATTAGGGGAGATCTGCAGTCCGCTGACTTCCTTGGTTAGTCCATTGGTCTTGGGGCTGGCAATGGGTGCACAGGAGGATGTGGCTCGTGGTGGTCTTTTCCCTGGAACCTTCACTGTAGTCCTGAGGAGGTCGATCTCCTTCCCATGGACATTCTGCATGTAATCCTAAAAAACAAAAATACTTAATCACGCTAGAGAAATATTAACCACAGAAGTAAAATAAGTCATTTCATCTTTACCAAAAAACTGCCTATGTAGGTAAGGGGTGACAGTAGATAAAAACAAACTGTACGGCTTTAGCCACTTGACCTCCAGAAGATTTACCCCCGCTCACGACCAGACAATTTTTTACGGCGCTGTGTTATTTTAACTGACAATTGTGCGGTCATGCAACGATGTACATAAATTACATTTATGTAATTTTGTTCCAACATATAGAGATTTCTTTTAGTGGTATTTGATCACTTCTGTGGTTTTAATTTTTTTTGCAGTATGAATGAAAAATCTCTGACATTTACAAAAACAATATTTTTTAGTTTCTGCTATTAATATTATAATACAGGACTTCTATAGCGCCAACAGTTTTCGCAGTGCTTTACAATATAAAAGGGAACTCTTACAGCTACAATACAATCAAAACAAGAGGATTAAGAGAGCCCTACTCACAAGATCTTACAATTTAATAGGGTGTAAAACATATCCAATAAACAAAATGTAAAAAGAAAAAATCAAATTTCATAAATTTAGACCAAAAAAGTATTCTACTACATATTATTGGCAAAAAAAAAAAAACCAAAAAAATCACAATAAGCGTATATTGATTGGTTTGCACAAAAGTTATAGCGTCTACAATTGGTGGTGTATATATACTGGAATTTTTTATAATACTATTAATGTTGGCAATCAGTGACCTATAGCGGAACTGCGATATTGCGATGGGAAGGGGTTAAACATCTAGGGCGAGATCAAAGGGTTAATTGTGTGCCTAGCCAGTGTTTATGTATTGTCTATGTGTTGTTTTTACTAGACAATCTGCTAGATTTTATTCCCTGAATAAAATCTAGAAGATCGCCATTGACATAGCACAGCTCTGCCTTGTTTACATAGGCAGAGTTGTGTTATGTCAGTCTGCTTGGCGATCAACAGGTGGCGACAACTGTTGATCAGCTTCTGCCGTGTCCAATCACAGTAGAAGTGGCGATCCGGTGGCAGACGCATGCCCCCCCAGTGGCTGAAGTGCAAAAGCACATTTATATAAGTGATATTGCACAGAATATCCGCCTTGTAGTAGTAAATCTGCTACAGGGCAGACGGCAAGTGGTTAACCAAAGTTGGATAATGCCCCTGCTATAGCTGTATAGGCCATTTATGAACCTCCTGAAGCTTGACTGAAAAACTCTCAGATCATCTCAATCTGTCCTGCAATGCTGCTAGGACTTTACTGAAAGACTCCTAGCTCTTACTGTTCATCTCCACCATCACAGGAGCGAGCCCTCAAACACTAAGCTCAGAGTTACTGCATCAGGGGAGAGAAAGCACATGTGAGGAAGTCTGAATCAGAGAAAGAGCTTGCTCCTGAAATGAGTGTGAGTTGAACAGTAACAGCTAGGACTCTCTTAGCAATGTCCTAACAAGGCAGGACGTGATGACGCGATCTCTGGGAGTTTTTCGTTCCGGTTTCAGGAGGTACATAAATGGCCTACAGCTATAGCATTATTCGACTTTTGTCAAAGCTGCACGGTGTGTCTATCTACAGACATCTCTAACTTGCATTGGCAGTTTTTTTGGTAAAGGTGAACTATGTCTTTAATCACTTTCCCTCCAGAGGATTTACCCCTCTTCCTGACCAGGCTATTTTTTGTGATTCAGCGCTGTGTTTCTTTAACAGACAATTGCGCAGTCATGCAACGCTGCACCCAAATAAAATTTATGTCCTTTTTTTCCCACAAACAGAGCTTTCTTTTGGTGGTATTTGATTGCCTCTGCGGTTTTTATTTTTTGCGCTATAAACAAAAAAGCCTGACAATTTTGAGAAAAAAAAATATTTTTGACTTTTTGCTATTAAATATCTCCAGTAAAAAAAATGTAAAAAATCAAAATGTATTCTGCTACATGTCTTTGCTAAAAAAAAATCCCAATACGTGTAAATTAATTGGTTTACATGAAAGTTATAGCGTCTACAAATGGCGATATATACTGGATTTTTATTTTTGTTTTTTTAATACTAGTAATAGCAGCGATCAGCGACTTATAGCGGGACTGTGACGGGCATTCTGACACTGGCACTGACATCCCTAGTGAAACCAATACAGTGATCAGTGCCAATTAAACTATTGACACTGGGCAGGAAGGGGTTACCATCTGGGGCGATCAAAGGGTTAATTGTGTGCCGTTTTACTGTGTGCTTTACTGTGTAAGCAGAGCAATACAAAACAATGTGCAGAAGCTGACAGGGGAGAGATCTGTATTGTTTATATACAGGTCTCTCCCCCATCAGTGATACTTGGTGATTGCCGGGTGTCGGCCAGGAATCACCGGCCGGGACCCGGTGATTGACAGCTGAGGCTGTCAATGGCGGCGCGAGTAGGGCTCGCACACGCCTCCTACCCGGAAATGCAAAATCACGTATATATACACGTGATTTTGTGCAGCCCTGGTGACTTGTAGCAGTATTTCTACTATAGGGCGGCGGAAAAGCAGTTAAACTTTCACAGTCAAGATGTGCAAGACCGCATTGATCTGATCTGACCACTATTTAAACCCGATAGTTATCAGCATTTTAATATGTACTATAGTGATGACGCTCATGCTAACATATCTGCATTGCCAGCAGGATCCAGATTCAATCTGCACTTTTATGTCAGAATTAAATAGGAAACACCTGATTTGTTATTATGGGAAACAATTACGTGTTCCTTTTCCTTCTTTTAAACAAAACAACCACTGGAGCTGCAATAAACTGAACTGATACGGTTTATTACTACAACCAATCAGGTTTCATCCTCAGTTCTGTAGGAAAATGAAATAAAGAATCTAATCAGCCTTTCTGGGCATCAACTGCATTTTGTTCCAGTATTGGGAGTATGCAGGAAGTGTCCACAACAATCTAATTCTGATAACACGTGAATCTCTAAACCAGATATGTGCTGGCACTTAAAGCAGAACTCCAGTCAAAATTGTTTTTTCTTTACATTGCAGTGGGGCTGTGCCCCCACTGCATGGGTCAGCTGCTCGTTTTTTCTAGGGATGAGGACTAAGCTCATACTCACCTGACCTGCCGATCCTATGGAAAACTGTGCTCCCCCACGGTCCAGCAGTGGACTGTTCCTGTCTATGGAGTGTGCACTGATGTCAGGAACAGTCCATTTACAAGACCGCTGGACCTCAGGGGGCAGGAGCCGAAAGGACCAGTCTTGTGCAGGGAGGATCGGTGGGTTAGGTGAGTATATCTTCGGTGTCCTCTCCCCTAGAACCAAACGAGCAATTAACCAATGCAGTATGGGCACAGCCCCACTGCACAGGCAAAAAAAAAAAAAAATCCTGGAATTCTGCTTTAAAGTGGTTGTAAAGTTTATTTATTTTGTATGTTAAGCTTACCTGCTCTGTGCAATAGCATTGCACACAGTGACCCTGAACCCCCTCTTCTTGGGTTCCCCCATTGGCGCTCTAGACTCCTATTCTTCTCGGTGCGCCATCATAGGAAGCCACTTCCTAATGGGGCATACTTGTGGGCTCACTCTGCACTAGGGCACAGCGATGGATTGAGATAGGACTCAATAGGTAAGTATTTACGGAGGTGAGGGGGTGATACAAACAATGGGTCTTTTTTTTTACCTTAATACAAGGAATGCATTAAGGTAAAAAAAGTTCAGCCTTTAGAACTACTTTAAGCTGGTCATAAACTGATCAAAAATCCCTGCTGAGCTAGCCAAATTCTGAACAATCTGTGGACGTCCCTGCTTAACAGAAGTCAAAGCTGCAGCCACTGATCAGTCCTGGCGGGACTTTGTGGATGGAGGAATCTGTTCACTTATTTTTATTCAGCTCCCTAGCCAGCTTTAGGCCCTGTTCACACTTGAGCCTTCTGTCTCCTGTACCAACATGCCTGTTGCTTAAAAAAGTATACAAGCTACTCTTCAGGCAGCATAGAGTGTTTTTGTCCCCATAGACCTCAATGGAAATGCCTGAGCTGTGCAACATGTGCTTTTTTTGAGCATCTTGTTGCACAATTTCTGCTCAAACAGCAGCTTTTCGCCCCTTTTCGAGCAGCACTGGACACCTTTTAGTTAAAAAACGCCTGACAAAAGCTGCAAAAACGCGCAATTCTACTCTAAAAAAAACACTCGAAAAAAAATGCTTGAAAAAAAAAAAAAACGCTTGAAAAAACTCTTGAAAACATGATGGTAAGGTGTGAATGTAGTATTAGGGTCTTGACCTCTAAGTTGTGCAACAACATCTTGGGACAGTGTCAAGTTTAGATTTTTTTAAATTAAAAAGAAAAAAATTAATAGAGAAATATGTAGGTTATTATTGCTGATCTCTCCATTTGAAATTGCTAGCTGCTCGGTTGCCATGCTTTAATACTTTGGGAATGTACTCAAAAAGAACAGAAATAGAAAATAATGACTACTCCCCAACTTTCCTTGCTCCTTTTGTCCCTACTCATAAGCATCTAAATAATTCAGTAGACCAACAATGGACCTCCACATTTCCTAGAAGATTTTGTTAGGGATAGATGTTGGTGATGTTTCGGTTTAAAATTACATGTTTTTAGTGTAGGTAATGTTCTTCAGATACATTAAAAATTACAAAGAAAATAGTAGGCAGAGCAAAACAAATCCTGGCACATGTACAGCTTGTGGGTTCACAAACATGTCTTCCTGTATCCTTGCATTGTTAAAGGGGATTTTGGCTTGGATGCTGTAAGTAAAAGTTTAGAATGATTAAATTAAGTCCAATATGACCGAGATCTAACCTATTATGGTTCAAAATGCAAAGTTTATATACAACAGGATTTTATTAATGTATGTTTATGAAATGATTATGTCCCTCAAAATGATAGAAAGGTTAATCCATAAACCAAACCAACCATAAACTAAAATAAAACCATACCATGGGAATAGCACAAATGCTCTGGGCACCAAAACATAGTTGTGGGTTAACTG